AACAAAACAACAATACAAAAAATATGACAAACAAGACTGGGGCTCAAAAAGAGGCAGATATATGTTAATAGTGAGCTACCTCGTCGTTTTATATACTCCACTGCCGTGAGGGACTGAGAACTATCCACAGATAGTGACAACCCAACCATGGATTTTGCAGTTTTAATCTGCATATATATGTTAAGTAACATGTTATTGACGGAAAAAAAATTTCTTAAACAAGCACGATGTAATTGGCATATTCGATCCAGTTCTTTGGGAAAGAGGGGCTCTGTAATCAAGCGGAAACTCAGGCCAATTCTGATAAAGTATCCAATTGAGATCATTATAGAATTATAAATTAACCACTAATAATGCATCCTTACCAAACTTGAGATGATCGCAGAACTTGTGGTCCCTGAAGCAGCTTGGAAGGCTTTCGATTTTCTCCCATATAATGGGCAAAAAACAAAAGCTCCACTTTCACTTTTCTTCCCATAAGCATCAGAAAGTAGAATGATGGCAGGTGAATCCATATCTCTAAAATCCAAGCACCACCTCAGATCTCCAGATTTTAACTCAATAAGTTCAACTCCAACATAAGTAACCTTCAATTTCTGCAGCAGTAACCAGTCATTAGTAAAACAGTCCAGTATTCTCTGTTAAGTAATAGTACACCTAAAAGCTTGAGCTAGTGGGTTCAATAATATTAAGTTTTCCAACAGCCTTCCCCGTGGCGTATGTAATATACACATAAAAACACAAATGAGACACAAGGAAGTCAGACACAAGACATATGCTATAAAGACATATGCTATAATATCATTTAAGTAACCACTACGTCCAGAATCTTAAGGACTTAAGCTGGTATTATGCCTCCTAATAGTTTCCACATGCAAATTCCAGAATATCAATCCCATGTATCCACTAATAAATAGGAAACATAAACTAGTAGGTGAACTAAAATAAGTTCTTATAACCAGTTACCAGCCACTAACTCCAGTTACTATTTATTCAACAACTTTCAGTTCACGAACAGTAGAAAACACTGTGAATCAATATACAAGTAAGATGATACACATAACACAATCACCATTACTGCAAACTAAAGGAGTGATAACTTACAAAAGGGACCCACTCCGAGTTGCGTCGCCGAAGATGAAGCACTGGAAATTCCGCCACAGCACTGAGTCTATTCCACCTAATTCTATGCAACTCTGTCAAAATACTCGCCCTATACCGCGACGACAATTTTATCCCCTTAAATTTGCCGCGGCCATCAGTCCTTACGCTGATATTAAACTCGTTGGACTTTTCATCGCGGCTAATGATCGGCGTGGCATTTTCAAAATCGGTGGAGACGTCATAGGAGTTGGTAACAGACAGCGTGTTGGGGTCGAGGGTGATGATGGCAACATTAGAGATACAGAGAATCCTCTTGTAACGACCGCGCCAGGAGTGTTTAACGACCGTGTAACGGGCAAGGTACTCAGGCTCCTCTTGCGGAGGAAGGGCAGAGTTGGAAGAAGAGGAAGAATTGGAGGCAGAGTCCATCTTTGAAGAGGGCTGGTGGCGGGGACTGGTTGAGTGACGGTTTACAGAATCAATGTGTGGGAGGTAGTGGAGGGTGTGGTGGCGGGGCGCATTTTGCTGGCGGAGAAAGAACCAGAAGTTCCTGCCGGCTTGAGCCGGGTTGCGGTGAGGCTGAGACTGATTCGCCCCCAGTTTTCGACCGTATTTACAGATACGCCACTCAGCGATTTGATGGATTGATCGCTCACTAACCCTAAATACTCATCTAATTTTTGTAGAAAAAAGAAAGAGAAAGATGATTTTTAGGGATTGAGAAGAAGTGAAAACCTCAAGCTTGAGATTGGTTGTTGAGATCAAAAAAACTGAAGTGAGATCGAATTGGGAATTTGGATAGAAAATAATTCCACAGAAAGCGTGGACAGCTCGGCCGGGGCGTTGTGCTTCGTTGTTTGGGTGAACTCACTAAGGCTACCTCCTTTGGGGAAAGATATTCTCATGGTCGGTGAGTTAATGTCGTTTTGATTTTGGGTGGAGGATATTGACGTGGCATGATTAATCTGGCTATACTAATTAATCAATGAATAAACAAGGTTTTGTAAACTGATTTCTCAATTCAATTGGTTCTGGATGGGATTATGATACTATAAAAAGGTCAATAATGCTATAGATACCGGTATTTTTATACCGAAATCTTATACTGGCCTACGTATTTCGTGATTCACACTAATAAATCAGACACGTTTTACGTTATTAATTTTTTTTTAATGAACGGTCGTTCATCAACTATAGACGGTCGTTCACTTATTATAGACTCCCGTCCATTTTATATGGACGAGGTCCATTTACTATGAACGGACGTTCCCATTTAAAGGATGTCCGTCCATTAGTAAAATGGAATAATTTTTTTTTTATAAAAATTAAGGACGTCCGTCCACAATTTATGGACGGCTATCCCTAAATATTAGACGAGCGTTTATATTTTAATAGACACCCATCTATTAACAATTCATTTTAAAAGATTAAAAAAATTTAGGGATAGCTGTTCATCAGTTATAGATGGCCGTCCTTTGACTGTCCATAAATTATGTACGAACATCCTTAAGTTTGGACGGGCATCCGTAAGGAATGGACGCCCATCTCTTTCGTTCTTACTCACTCTCACTCCCATCTTCCAAATATCTTCAATCAGTTTAGCGTTTGTCGCTTGATCCGTCCATTGAGGAAACGCCACCAAGGGCACACCGCACGCCAAGCTCTCCAGCGTTGAGTTCCATCCACAATGCATTACAAAACATCCTATCGCTGAGTTTGACAATACCTCTACTTGTGAACACCATGGAACCATCAGACCTTATTGCTCTTGTTCATCTCTAGATCTGCTACTCATCAATTTATCTTTTTCCTTGTCTTCCTCTTCATTTTGATTTTCTCTTATGACCCACAAGAACGGGTGGGCACTACCAAGCAACCCACGTGCAATCTCCTCCATCTGTTGCTTTTCCAACACGATCAGACCTCCAAACGACACATAAACTATTGATGACTTGGGCTTTGAGTTTAGCCATTCAATATAATCATTTGAACCACGGAATAGATCCGCTCCAAATGAAGTATCGGATGGGTCTTTTCCATCCAAAAATGCAGATGGAATCAAAGGTCCGACTGCTATCATGTTGAATTTATCAATAGCTATTAACGCTTCAGATTCTAACGCATCAAATGTGTTAAAAAGTATTTTCAGGTTGCTTTCTTCATGAAGAGCCTCCATTTGCTCCTGAAATGACTCTAATGCATGAGGGTACTTATATAAAGGGAGTAAAAAATAAGGAAGATCACAACTAGTAACTCTATTAAACATGAGCCCTTTTTTGCTTTCTGTTTAACCACAATAAGGGATTGGCGTCCATTCCTTACGAACGCCCGTCCAAAATTAAGGGAACCTCATCTATAATTTATGGACGGGTGTCTAAAATTAAGAGACGACCGTCCCTAAATGTTTTTTAATTTTTTAAAAAGAATTGTTAATGGACGGGCATCCATTAAAATATGAACGCCCGTTCAATATTTAGGGACAGTCGTCCATAAATTGTGGACGGCCGTCCCTAATTTTTATAAAAAGAAAATTATTCAATTATACTAATGGATGGACGTCTTTTAAATGGGGATGCACGTCCGTAGTAAATGGACCCCCGTCCATAGTAAGTGAACGGCCGTCCATAGTTGATGAATGACTGTTCACTAGAAAAAAAATTAATAACGTGAAACGTGTCTGGTTTGCTGGTATGAATCACGGAACACGTAAGCCGGTATAAGATTTCGATGTAAAATATCGGTGCCCGTAGCATTATTGTAAAAAGGTTAATCATCTTGATAATTTATGGAATAAAAAACGAGGAGGGCCTATATGACTTTTTGTTTTGTGTATAAGGTAGATTTATAACATATTATACTAAACTTAAAAATAATAATCCTTGGATCCTAGAATTGTTGATCGAGTAAGAATTCTAATAGTCACTCCTGTTAGTGGTTAGGAAGATTTGAATTCTGGAGCTCATAGAACTTGTTGATGCTTGATTTTGACACCAACTACTCACACATGTAAAATGCTCAAAAGACTTAGAAGTCACACATGATATTAGGGGATTGAATTAAATAAAAAGTGAAGAGCAATATTTAAAGTGGTTCGAATGCTCAAAAGCGAATCTTAAGTCCATTGCTATTGTATTAATAAGAGAGAGAGATCAGGTCGCATTCAGCCAGCTGAGTTACAGTTTAGAGAAAGAATATAAGAGAGAGAGAGAGAGTCATTTCAACGTAAAATTAGCTAATCCCCACAAATGAGAGGGAAGTCTTCTCTTTATAGTGGAAGAGTTCAAGGTAATGATTTTAAAAGCTGCAAGTGAGTAGGTGCCGTGCAAATCTTTTCTTTGCATCCCATTAGTCACCTGCCCGAGGGATTTCCTCGACTAAAGCAAGGTTTTGACACGTGGGTGATCTCCAGCCGCTTGCTAGCCTGACACTCACCTGTCGCACTGACAGGAGTCATACCACTTGCGCTAGGCACGATGTGGCCGCACCTGGATGGCACAGAACCCTTATGAGCTCTGATCATCTTTTACTGACGAGACTCTACGTCAGCCTTACTTTTCCAGATAAAACAGAACATTTTTTTTTTGGTTTTACCATAAGACCATCTAGTAGTGGTTGTTAAATTGTAATGTTACCTAACGAAGAATGATGAATAAATTAGTAAGCTCATGACATTATCTTGGTCTAGTGTTTAGGCGCACAATTGCACGTTAACAATATTTTAAAGCAACGTAAAACTTGATATTGTATTATTAGGAAGCATATTAACATTTGGATTTATAAAATGAATAGCATTGACAAAATGACAATGTATAGATGTTAACTAGAACAATAGTATACATTAAGATATAAAACAAGCAAAGGAAATCAGAATAAGTTTATGTAATCTGTTATGCTATACAACAGATATATCCTAAATGAAACTCTTATGACTTTTAATCTGTCAAGGAATTCTGTTTGTTAGTTATCCACAACAGCCAGAAGAAGGATAGCAATAGTCTTGAGATCTCAATTGAATTACAGTGAATAATGCAGGACTTAAGGATCACATGATGTAGTGCAAGCACCGACTTCACTAGAATGTACTTTGCCTTCCAACTCATTCCCGGTGTTGGAGCTTCCTGGCAAACATTCAGGAAGCAAATGAGGAGGACACTGCACATTTTAAATGATCCAGAAAAAAAAAAACACAAGATCAGTAATGAATCATAAGATTTAATCATTTGGATATTTCCATGCAAAAGACTTAAAAGGCGACTCTCTGATAAACTTGGGTACCACTCCAGAGTAAAAAAGAAATTTTATGTTACCATAACAGAGAACAAATATAACATAAAGCAAAAACTCATAGAAGCATTTGCATTGTCCTATATTAAAACTCATTGAAAATGGTGAACAACAGCATTGTCTAAATGATTTTATAAGTGCAGTTTAATTCATGAGAAACAATATCAAATATCTAGCTAAATCCAAATTAGTCTGTACCTCTAGTTGCTTCAACATGTCGATTGACTTATACACATCACCTCCATTAATAGAGTAAACATGAGCGAGGAAATTCTCTGATATATCAGGAAACATGAAGGCCAGGTAATCAAGTTGAAATTGAGATTCATTAATGTACTGCTCTCCCGTCTGATCACCTAAATTCTTACGGACATCTGATTCGGAAGTTTCAGCTTGGAAATGCTTTCCAGACCTGCAGTGGCCTTCAGTAGGAGAAAAGGAGCTAGCAGTCTCATCACCACTCTTCAAAAAATCTTCTGTTGTTAACTCAGAAAGTTTGTGGTTATCAGTTGCTTCTTGCTTGTGAGTTGGTAAGTATGATGCTGCATCCGGATTCAAAGATGACTTTTGTTGCTCCATTTTTCAATTTGTACAAAACAAAACTGTTTAAACCAAAATCAGATAATTGTCAATAGGCATTAAATAGAGAAAGGGGACCAAAAAAAGGATAAAAGATGGTAATAAAGAAGTCACAACAGTGGTACTAACAGATGAGAAAGAAGCATATGGGAGACCAATATATCCAGGATAAAGATTTTACTCCCAAGGAGTTCACACCTAGCTCATCAATCTAATGGATCCATTTCTCAAAGTATGTAACAAAAGCTATAGTTTTATTTATATAATTCATCACCCCATGATCCTGCATGTCCTAATTCTAAAATTCACGGTAATTGGCACCTCAGACTTTAGCATTTCTGATATTTAAGCATAAAATAAAGTCTCAACCAGTTTCTTATGAGACTCAAGTACATAAAAAATTCTGCATCAAAGAAAATAAACAACAGCTTCTACTAGACTGAACTAATCTAAAATCTTCTGAATGATGGTACAACTCAGTTTGCTTCGAAACTCTTAGTAAACAATTTATATATAACTAAGAGGTTGTATTTAATCACAATATACAATAGATAAATTGCATCTCTTTTGACTTTCATTTCTTGTCTTTTTGATAAATGAAAACCAACAAGACTGGTGTCGAAGCAAGGAATATTGAATCTAAAGAAAACAATTAAGCGGCCAACCCAAAGATAAGAGAATCTTGAATTTAAATTAAGCATTTCAAAATTTCCATGGAATTAAAAAATAGCAAAAAAAGAAATTATTTTCAAAATTTCTCTCAATTTCCTCCTTCGCAAGCCAAACATGGAGAAAAATAAAAGAAACATAAAATAAGTGCCATTAAGGTGGTATAACTCTGTCTGGTTGGCAAGAAAATATGTAGATTGTTTTAATTTCTTTCCTTTTGTAACGTACATTTCTCGGTAATCAACTGGAAAAATTGAGAAAGAAAATAAAGTTACCTCCGTACAGCGTGAGAACTCGGCTGTTCGGTGGCGAGAACCGTTCGAGTTCGGAGTGGAGATAAACGATGGACGGTATTTTTTTTTTTGAAGAATAGAGTGATGGTGGATAAAGAGGAAAACAGAAAGAAACTTAAAAGCAATAAAAGTTCCCGCTTATTGAGGACGTTTTTTCAATTGCTGATACGTGAAGCGGACCAAGCGGTGAGACACCACATCTCTGGTCTGCCATTTTATAGAAACAGAATACGGATTTCACCCCACGTCACACGCCTTATGGTGAGTAAATAATCCTTTATTTATTTTTTCTTTTTGTGTGTATATATATATATATTAGAACTAATATTGATTATTGATGCCATTCAGCAACTGAATTTATGGCTATACAAGTCTTGATAATAACTGAATAATTAAAACAAAATATGCATCTAGATACGGTGATTTATTTGCATCTCACCACTTTAATTACATAATATCTTATAAATTGTCATTGTTCTCACTCCCATTACTAGAAGAATTCTTCAAACATAGAAACTCAATAAATTTACGAGTTGCAGACTCAGGCAAGCAAATGCAGACCACCATGGTTCCATTAGGATCAGCTCCTCCTCCAGGCAAAAACACACAAACCTGTGGTGTTGGAGTGAGATCAAATGGACCGGCATAAACTGGCCTTCCCCACCCAAAATCTGCAGAGTCATAAATTGAAAATCTTGTCCATTGAGTTATGGTCAATTTTCCTCCAAATTCAAGCCTTCTTGGCCTCTCCACTTCAACAAAATCCACTGTAGATCTTAGATACTCCTCTGAGACACTGAGTCTAGCTTCACGAACCAGACGGGTTGTGTACTTGAGCCGCCCATTAACAATCTCATTAACAGAGCTCATTGCGCATGCCACACACACTACATTGCCATAAAAGCCGTCTTTCAATGGCGGGTTTTTCAGTTTCTGGCGAGAATTGACAGAAAATGTAAGCCTAAGCTTATAGTTAAGTGGTTTGACATCAAGTGCTCTCACCCATGACCTCCAAATATGAGCAGCCATTGCATCAAAAGTAGTGCATGGGAAATTGTCATCCGGTTGAGCTAGAGTTTTGAGATGCGCTTGGAACTCCCTGCTTATCCGGTAACACTTCTGGACAGGCTTGGTTTGCCACAAACTCATTGTTAGGCTTGAACCTTCATCAATTCTCATATATTCAATATGTGGGTGTTTTATGATTGGCGGGTGGCGAGGCCGGAAAAATTCTCTGTCCCAACAAGGCTGAGGATTTACCACCAATTTACCTGCTTTTGCAGTGGCAGCCCACGCATTGAGGAACTGCATAGCACCAAAACCATCACAGATGCAATGGCAGAGTCTAAGGCCAAGGCTGAAGCCACCGCAGCTAAACAGAGTCACTTGAGCTATAACTAATGGCATGTCAATAATCTTGTATGGCTCTTCATTGGGAAACTTGTAGATCAACGGTGCCCATGCCGGGTTTGGTACTGTTAGGTCTCCGAGATCATCTAAGGCCATTTCGCAGTGTGCCTTAATCATGAGAGCACCTTGTTCAGGACCAAAAAACACTTCCAATTTGCCATTATGGGTTTCTCTGATCCTCCCAGATAAAGGGTAGTAAGGAACTAAAACATTGGCAAGAGCCTGGCGTAATGTTTCCATGACGGGGCGAATGGAGTCTTCTAAACGATAAAAATATATAGTGGGGGTGAATACACGGGCTCCCACAATGTCGTCAAGGTTTGAAAGGTAGAGGCTGTCGCCGGGGGCAGCAGGTGTAGGCCCAGCCGGCATCACCTGAATCGATTCATGGATGCTTAAAGGGATTTTAAGCTGGGTGAAACGCAGCTCTTCAACCCATGAAGATGAAGCCATGGAGGAGTGGTGAGAGACTCATGCCAAGTACTGGAATTTGTAGGGGATTGAATTTTCTATAGCATGTAAAGATGCCTTAGCTACATACGTGGCGGATCCTCAAAATTTGTTGGTGATTCAGTAAAACTCTTGCTATCCTGAAAATTTATTGGTGATTCAGTAAAATTCTTGCTATCCTGAAAATTTATTGGTGATTCAGTAAAATTCTTGCTATCCTGAAAATTTGTTGGTGTTTCAGTAAAGTTCTTGGTATGGAGCAGTTGATGCTGATACTTTCCATGATCTATCAGGCTGATATTTCTCACTTTTCTATTTGGCATTTTTGTGATACTAAACAATAATGTTCCTGTTTCTCATAAAACAACTTTTGGATAGACGTTTTCCAAACAGTTGTGAATTTTTTATTTCCAAAAAGGATCTCTGCTTTTTCTTTCTTTTTAGAAAAAAAGCTTATCAAGCACTTGGATTAATTTTTTGCCCTAGCTTAACTTACTTTAAGATTGATAAAAAAATTTCAATATCCTCCTTTAAATTTGTCTGGCAAGGACCCACGAACGAAATTTGCCAAACGGTCAATGGTCCGTAATATTTTAGCTAATTGTTTGCCATGACAATCTGCATAGGGGTCAGAGTCTCAGACTGGACTTCATGAAGAACAAGAAGTTCTTCCTCTAAAGTTATAAGCATGGACTAAACCATCTACAAAAAGCTAAAGCAGTGCCATAATTATCTTTAAATAACAAACCCGGGGGTCAAAACATAAATAATCAATTGCCCAAGAAACTGATTCCACTGCTTAAAAGCAAATTACAAATCCTCAAGCACCTATAACTAACTACCATACTCAAGAATAGAAAATAAATAAACGCCTTAATCCTCAAGTTTACTCTTCTAATTCTCTCCCAGGCATTAACGGATACCCCCTCTTCCCCTTTCATGCAAGCATGGATCCATTGCCCATCACCAGCCCTACTCACCTTCCCATTTAATACAAAGCAGGGTCTACCCAGTGGCACAATGCATACTTAACGAACATAAACAGTTTAGTTATTAACATTCATAAAATTCAAAACTGTGCAAACACGCAATGTCATCCAACAGAAAGCGGACAAACAATCAGATCAAAAGAACCAATTTCTTTCTCCAAAAATCTGTTGAAAGTTACCTTCAGAAAACCAGACTGTTGTTTATTTTGCATTTGATAAAATGAACAAAAGAAAGTACATGTTCATATGTGAGAAGTAAAAAAGAAAACTACTATTAAGTGTCTTGCCGGTTTACCGCACCGGCTGCTGATTGTAGTGATTCTTCTCTTTCTTTTTTGCAGCAGCAAGCCTTGCACTCCTTGCAGCAGCCTCACTAGCAGCAGCTCGTGCAGCAGCATCCATCTCTTTACTAGACTTTTTCTTTTTCATAGAAGCTACTTTCTTCAGCCGCTCCTTCACATCAACAGATGTATCCTCCGCCTTCTCTGTCCCTGCAGTTTCATCTGTCCCACCACCAACGTTAGCACCATCAGGCTGGTCCTGAGACAAATCTTTTGTTTCCTTCACGGATTTATCCTTCTTCTTCTTCTTTTTGGCACTTTTGCTCTCTGCAGGGCCATCATCCTTCTTTTCAACATATCCATTATCTTCTCCTTTCTTCTCTTGTGCCACACCTGAAAATAAGGAAAAATATGTATTCCATGTAACAGAGGCTTCCTAAGTAAAATGAAATACAGCAACAAGCAATGGACCAAAGTTTCTGTTTAACCCCAAGTCATAAACTTCAAGAAATGAGTGTCAAGAACTGACATGGTCAACACATATTAAATAAATGTGGGTAAAAGCTAACTTGTTATAATTTCCCATTAAAATTCTTAAATGTTTGAAATACTAGTAAAAGCTACCAAGTCTTTTTGAAAACCAATGCTCAGAGCAAAAAGAAAAAAAAAAAAAAATTAGGGCATAATGCACTGGCAGTTATAGTCTATATACTACAAAATGTAGAAACAATGAACTTGATGTAGGAAAGCAGCATAAAGAGAGGTTAAGATTGAACAGAATTCCCATTAACCACAAGAAACTTGCACAAATATGAATAATAAATGAACTTGCAGAATTTAACAACATCGAAGGACAAAGCTGTTGAGGAAACTCCTGACTTCTCCAGTATTAAAAGTGAAAGCATTTAAATTTCAGGAATTAAAAGTAGTTTCAAATCTACAATATGCATACATACATACAAACATGTGTGTACGACTGTGTGTGTGTGTGTGTGTGTGTGAGCATGTGCTTGCGTATGTTGTTTTAGTGATGGCGCATATGTCACAAAGATATCAGACCCAATTCAATGCTAACATGAGAAGGGATCTATTGAGATGTATAAACATATAAATGATGCCAAAGTACCATGAGATCCATCTTGGCCACTGGCTTCATTTTTCAATCCCATCTCAGCAAGAAGAGCATCAAGTTCTTCGAGACCCTTTTTCTTCAATTCCTTCTTTGAAAGTTGCCTTTCTGTATCTTTAGGAGCCAAAGGAGTTTCTGGAGGCTTCGCAACTAGTGGCTCCACTTCTACTGCTGTCTCAGTTTCATTTTCATGTTCTTCTTCAACATCCTCATCAACCTCATCAAGACCTTCTTCCTCACTTTCACTTTCCTGAAATAAAATATGGAATAAATCTAAGAATCTTTGATAGCAAAATGACTCAGTACATTTAATCATCCAAGGTTCATAGAGCATTTTATCCTCAAATGGGAAATACAGCATGAGAAATAACTTTTTTCCCCACTAATAATTAAATAATAATTACTGCCTTTTCCCCAGTGCAATTATATTTTTGTATCAAACTACATGCTGATACACTTTATTATTTGACCATTTTTTAGCATAACCATGACTGACACATAATCCTAACCAAAGTCTGATACTTTGGCTGTCCCAGGTTCACAAAGGGGTGGACCTAAGCAATCAGGTAGCTGTAAACCATGGTAAATAAATGGAATGACCCAGCATGCACCCATCTCCAATGGTCCGTGGCATGTCAGAGTGCAGCTGCAACATAGTGCAAAGTTGTTGTCCGAGTTACTTGGCGTTACCCCCTAGATTAATGAAATGCCTCTATAAAGAGCGTTAACTTATATCTCCATCTAAACAACATTAAATTATCTTTCTGCAACAGAACAACATTATAAGCTCAGGAGATCAAGAAAAGACAACCAATAGTTAAATCAATGCAGCCACAATCATTTATCATGAAGCAGTAAAACAATTGACACGTCCACCAGAGTAACGCAAACTCCACATTAACCAGCACTGACTTCTTATTACCATCTCCATCAATAATTGTTGCAATGACACATATTATGGATGATCTGTTGAATCCGACAATCTAAACGACAAGAAATGCCTTTATTGATTGTGTTATCATAATTAAAATTAAGTGTAAAATAGTTCAAGCCACGACAAATACATAACAAGACATATGTTGATAATAAGCATAAGACAGTCAAAACAACATACATGTGATTTTAATACGTGTGTAAACCAGATTAAGTAGAAGTAACCTTAACACAGGACCTTTCTACACGTGCCAACTTCAACGGATCAAGTAGATTTCAATAAAAGTAAGAAATCACAATGATGATCGAAGCAGAAAATAATGCAAAATTGATTACGAACAACCGACAAAAAACACCACTTCAATTTCCACAACTGTCAACAGATACATATCATTCCACACAAAACATAAACCATTAAAAGAACTTTGTTATCCAAAAATAACAGTCAAGACCACAGGAAAATCTACGTCGCTCAGAAATTAGTTTCTTATTGTGGCATTCATAAAGCTATGAACAGCAGACTCTACATGATATCCCAACATTCATAGGCAAACATGGATGAGAAACTAGTTAAAAAGAATTCCAGTTACAAAATGTAGAGTTGTTTGTCAACAGCACGTATAGTCATCATATTCACAAGAACAAAAAAATTTGCTGACACAACATTTAAGGAAAAGAATCTCAAACCCACTTAAAAAAATGCAATAATGTAATGCCAATTAAATCCTAAAATAGCTGCGAAAAGAAAGAGCTAAACACATTCAGGCAAGATCATTTTCTTCATTTGAAAATTCACTATTGTCATTAAATAGGCATTGCTGTACTCTACATTAGCATAAAATTATATAATCCAAATTCAGCATCAAACAATGAAAGGAAGCATAATTACAATAAATATAAAGAAAATAAAATAAAATAGCAAAAACGAAACCTCAACAGGAGGCTCCTGGGACTCTTTCTGGGGGCTGGGGTCCACAGTACCCCAAACCGATTGAGGCGGCGCGGTTGTTGCATAGTAATCGTCGTCATCCTCATCATCGACATCAGCCCACGACTTAACAGTAAGCGGCGTTGGGGCCCAGAAAACCTCCTTCTCTTTCTCCTTCTCGGCGGGTTTGGTTTTGCTCTTGGATGAACCTTGCTCTTTACTGGAAGACTTCTTCTTCTTCTTCAAGTTTCCTAGCGCCGCGAACACATTATTGCTGTTTAAAACCAACGATTCGTCTTTTCTGCTACCGCCTCCCACCATTGTCGAACACCCTACACACACCTGTGACTGTAAACCTCTTCAGCAAAGGGACAAAATAGGAAATCAGATGTCGATGAGATTAGATTTGATCAATCAAGGGTTGAGATGAAATAAATTGTAAAGTTAAAAGACGATCTGATAATAAGAGTTAGGGTTTGGGATGGGTTGGTTGGTTGGAGGCAGAGAGAAGGAAGAGCACTGTCCTCAATGTGTGTTGTGTATGTGTAATGTAACGGATGAAATGGAAGAGTTGTAAAATTGTATGAGTTTTTATCTGGGTTACAACATGGCCTTGATGGGCTTTGGGGCTGGCTGGGGTTACGCGCAAAGGCAAAGGCGCAATGTTTTTTTCTTTTTTGTGTTTTTTGTTTTGGGATTGCGAGGGTGACTGGGTAAGTTCCAGATGATGAAGGTGGATATTT